CGTATTATTCAACCACATAGTATATTAATAATTTCATATAGTACATTGATCTGCTATGATAGTATATTACGGTTATAATAGTGATATGAATTGTGTTACAAACAATATACCACTGAAATGACAAGAACATTGAGAACAACACCAACGTAAAGTATTCCAACATAACCAATAAAATAGTACATTAATAATCTCATAATTTCAATCTAGGGTTTTGATAAAATACATAAAACACATCATAACACAATCAAACCAATATGTCGACTTAAAAAACTCTAGTACATTAATAATCTCATAATAGTATAATAAAATGATAATGGTAGTATCATACGGTATTCATAATAGTATACTACTGTATTACAACGGTTTAAAACTTAACCGAAGTTACCGAGCCATTACATCGTAAACACCTCTTTATAGCAACCAACCCACCAAACCTCAACAACATCCGTACGAAATTCGCCATCGAAAAAACCTATAATCATGAAACAAAATTAAAAATGCAGAATACTAAAAAATGATTAAATAGACTGCAAATACATATGAATGACAATACATTAATATCATCAAAAATAAACTTTAAATGCAAAATCCATACGCTAATTTAAAAAAGACTACGAACTATATTTTAATGTACTACCCAGCACACTTAAATCGGCTGTTATAAACAAATAAACCAACTATCGACCGGGATCAGACTCATGAACTCCACGACGGCGGACAATTATTTCAATTAATGCGTAAACCAACTACGATGTTCATATAAAACAACTCTGGTCCGATATACGTGAACCATCCTCATCTAACTCTGTCAATCCTCTTCCAAACAAAAATCATCCGCCAAAAAATAACGATGTATATATGACGGAATAATTTTGTTAAAAAAACGTTCTACTTAATAGAATCAAGTATCAACACAACTCTTAACAATTTCTAACCACCGTAATCGACAATCCTAGACATTGAGCGAAAAATAAAAACGAATAACGCATTCATACCCGGTTAACAACGTCCAACAACGAACACTCAAATTCGATCCTATTTCAACGACGGTGCAGAAATCGTCAAAGACGATAAAAAACCTCTGGAACGCTGAAGAGAACCTTCGAAAAATATTGTACACGATTTGATATAACGGCCAATGATCTCACGTAATTTTATTCCGTGATTTTAGGCAACGTATCAGCAAATCTCAAATCACGTAGTAAAGGAAATAAATGCCTTTTAAAAATAAAACAAGGGTATTAAAGGCAAATTATATAATATATTTTGCCAAGTTGGCAAAATTGGGTCTATCTCAAAAAGGGGAAAAAAAATTGGATCTACCTCATTAGAAAATATGAACAAGGGGGTTATCCCTAATAAACTCATTTATAAAATATACTTAAGTAAACAATAAGACTAATTATGAAGTACTCCCGCTCTCTCATATAATTTGTCTTTTTGGGGTGTTTTTATGTCTCAAATTATTTTGTCATTTTAGAGTTCCAATAAAGTATTAATTACATTTTTTTTATCAATTTTGCCCCTTACCACTCTTAATTAGTTAATTTAAAAATAATTAATGACAAGGCTATTTTAGTATTTATTATGTTATTTTTGGTATGATCTATGCATATATATTGAGTTTCTGAATATGCGTGCAGCGATCCAAAACGATATCGAATACATGACAGAGAATTATATAATAAGGCTAATTATTACATCTAAAGATTAAAAGTACATTAAACGTGTAGCCCTCAATTTAAAAATTATGTTACTAAAAATATAGGTAATATACATTATTAGTTATTTACGGATTATATTTTAATTTTTTTTTTATTTTTTTACATAATTGACTATAGTTAAATCATGAAAAACAAAAACCATGTTATCACTTACACTAATAAAATGCATAAATAAAAATAGTAAATAAAATTTAAGAATTTATTTAACCTCGATATTTAAAATCAATCTTAATCATTCACCACTATTTTTTTTAGACATATTTCTTACATATGAGTATTTTTTTAATTTTATTTTATTATTTTTAAATATTCCTTAATTAACTTGACATCTACAATGAAAAGTTCACCAATTTGAAAATCAAAAGTACATTAAGTTTCTAATAGCCAGCTAAACCTTTTTTTTACATGAACCTTCACTTGCATCTTTATAATATATCATTGAAAAACTCTATTTTGAGTTTTATATGTAATAAATTTTCTTTATAAATTTAAGACAATAAACTTTGACTTCTCAAAAAAATTATAATATATTAAAGGATGATCATACTTTTCATATAACAAAATATAACTATTATTACTGGTATTAGGAAATAGTAATTAGTTTGAGTAATACAAATTAAATTAGAATTAATTTAAAATTTGAAACTACTTTAGGTATCTAGTGGTTAACTTAAAACAAGATGATTTATTTTAAATAAATTTTTACATATATATGCTTATAATATTAAGATCATTGGAAAGCTCTTGAAATGTAACTCTAAAGAAAAAGAATGTTGAAATTTATTGTATAAACATAATTACGATAACCATGAAAAAAAAAAAACAACTTTTAACATAATTTACTATTGTTAAACAACGTTTAACATAATTTATAGTATACTAACAGGTCCTTGACATAAAAATT